TAACGTTTAGACGTTTTCACATAAGATGTGATCAAAATATTAAATTATCGCGTCGAATATAAAATAATTCAGATGCTTCAAATTGCATATTGTGACCGAATTATTTGACAATGTCAAATCGCCTTATCATTGAATAGATTTGATACAATACGAAGTAAACATGCTAATATAGGATGTGAACCTATAATTCATTTGATCTAAACTGTATATCATTGAGTCGAAATAATGCATCAGTGAAAAAAACTTTAATATATTGTCAAAAATAAATACTACTTGGTCGTTTTCGTACAACATGTCGTCAAAATATTAAATTTTGTCGTTAATTAATACAATATTTAAACGTTTCTTATACGATCCTTTTAGATGTTGTATGGAACTCACCATATAATTTGATGTACCATACCTTAAGACAGCTATGGCGTTCCATATGTATGCACACTTCAATTTTTTAAGTAGAGAACTTGAACGTTTGTATTCTATTCCGCTTCCAACTCAAATTTTGCTTTATTTGCAAATTTCAAAATACTTAGAAAATCTTAATTCACAAAATTTTGCTAAAATTAATGGTCAAAACTATGATTTTCAACACTAAAAACCATCCCCAAGATATATTAAAGACCAGACGTTTTGAAATCATACAAAACAGCTTCAAGAAAAATGAATTCCACAAATTGTCATATCTTGTCATTGGTCATACACACACTTAGTTTGTTACAACCATTTTGATTGTACATACAATAAATCTGAGGTTGTATTAAAAAGATGATGGAGTTCCTCTTAGACAATATTTAACAGTCTTTGGAGACCAGGTCTTCAAACAATCTGTCGTAATACCTATTGGTAATAATTGTACCCTTTTACTAGAAGACTTTTATATTCTTATGAAGCAGAATTTATTCAAAATCTTAAACATGAAAAGAAAAGTCTCTTGCTGTGGACTTCAATTCCACATTTAGAAGAAGTTTTATCAATTACCAATTTTCCATCATACATTGATTCGATATACCCTAATGAATATTAAATAAAAGAAAACATAGAATCTGAAACTTCTTTTTCAAGTTTGAATGTTTTACTAGAGAAAGACATTGATGGCAAACTAAGAACTAAACGTGCTGACTATTTTATCATCAACTTTCCTTCTTTATGTATTTATGACATTATCACCTGATGTATGTCATTCAGTTGATTTAATACTTCAAAGTCTGTCCTTCGCACGAACAATTTCTAAATCGAGGCACGCCACGAGCATGCCAATAAGTTGATGATACAATGTTATCAACGATCTCAACCATCGCAAATTAATTACCTTGTTTTCAAATATAATCTGTCGTTAGGGAGAATGTTGACTGACGTCTTTCATACAAATTGTTAGGTCTTTATTTTCATACTGAATTGCATTCGAAATTTCCCGTTTACCCGATCTTGACAGCTTACGACGGGTGTTAACGGTTGACAGGGTTTTTTTTTTACTCCTCCACGGCACCTAATCCCACCTTTGATTTTTTTTTTTCAGGGAACCATGCTTGCTCTGCTCTTAATTTCTTGATAATTAATTGGAGTTTTAAGCATCATTACGGATATTTACATTTCATTGCAATGCATTGACTTACATGTACGGAAATGATTGACCTATTAACGAATAAAATTGTTAATTAATAACTACATAAAAGTATGAAACATTTCAATGATGTTAATTTACAGCAAAACAAAATCTGACTAAGTGGTATTGAATGTTTCAATCATATTCCAGAAAGGCTATGTACGTATTTCAAAATGTGTGAAAGAAACAATCTTGCAATTATATGTATGCATCAACCTTGTTAAAAATGTTTAAAAATCAAAAGCAACGTTATCATTTCCCCTAAAATGGATTCTTTTTGTCAATACGAAATCCAATGCTATTTTTAGCCAAAAAAAAAAAAAAAAAAAAAAATCGTTAAATGCCTAGATGTTCTTATTTACTAGTTCCCCAATGCATTTAATTCCATATATAGCAGATTTGACACCTTTTGCAGAAAGGAAGTCAAAAAAGAATGCCACAAAAGAAGAGGGAAGTAAGTACATTATATTCCTAAATCATGTTTGGAAAACATTCCTAGAACTATCGTAGAAAATAACAAATCTGACAGAGTGTTTTAGAAATGTACACCATTCTTTAAACTACATTCACAGCATGATTAATTGTTTTTGACAAATTATCAAAGCAGTTAATGTTATTATTTTATTTATTAAAATTAAAGATATATGTCCTCGGATAACATTTAAAAACGTAAATTCAGTGGCAAAATATAAAAATTTCAGTCAAAATTATAAATATCAATTTAAATTCTTCTGCCAAAGACCCATTCGCAAACCTTAATTAGAATAGTCACGCACATGAAACTTATAAAGATTAATGAACATCAGACGACCATTAACGATAAAAAGCAGAGGCAATATCATTATTTATCATTCACGCTTCATAAGAACCTTCTTTGATCGAAAACGATTCACGTCTTTATTAGAAATTGTACAAAAATCGTAAAATAGTTCCAGTACGAGGCCAGCCCGCCTTAAGCTGACGAGTGGTGTACACAAGTGACCGTTTCCTTATTACATATCAACTGTTTTCTTGTAGCTGTCAAAAAATATTCATGGTAAATAACCACGATCTTAATTAAACCTTCATTAATTGGGAATTTTTATTTTTGATGAATGTAAATTAATTAACTTGTATAATATTACTTGATTTCACAATTTGAAAATGCAAGGCCAACTCGGAAATTGTTAGTGTCATTATAATAAAAAAAATAAAATTGACAAAGCGATGAAAACTTGAGAATGTATTGTGAAATATTTAAACTTTTTAAAACAAAATTAACGTATGAAAAATTTAACGTATGTAACGGATGGCTACAAAAGTATTTTATAAGACTATAAAGTCAAACCTCATTCATTCGAATTCAGAATCATGCTTGTGTTCCCGGGCAGATTACTGATGCATACTTTAAATAATTGGTAGATATAAATGTTCCCCACATATTTCGTCCGGAACGTTACATATCCGGATTATTGGCGTCCAAATTATAAAAGCTTGACTGTATTCCAATAGTATTAAATTGTAATGACTCTTGTGTGTGCCATCATTAATTCCTAGTTTTCGAAAAGTTACACTTAAAGATGAGAAAGCTGCGAGAAGATTAATCCTTTGATGAACTTTTTTTTCAAAGCCTGACCAATGCACTGGACTTACGGTGGGTTTGACCGGTCGACAGAGGATGCATACCCCTCCTAGGCACCTGATCCCACCTCCGGATTTCCGGGCCACGGGTCCGTATTTTATGCCCTGTTCACAGATTTGTATTGTCTGTATGTTTTTTTTTTAAATGATCCACCACCATTCGTTATCTTCGTCTTTTTCATACCAATACCCTATTATATAATATACTTCAAAACATTATCCGTTTTGTTAGGGTCTCTAACTGTTTACATATTTACACGGAAACACACCCATGGCAAATCAACATATAGGAATGTAAAAAAAAAATTAGCAGAGTTTCTATTGTATCTATTGAAAACAGTATTGTATTCTTTTACATGTAGTGAACGCAGTCAAATGTGAACAAATCAAATAGGTATTGTGTACTACTAACAATACAATTATCTGACCTACACAGGAATAAGAATTCATATACTTATAAGGTTTATGATGCAGAAATTATAAATCAATATAATTCAATCATTGTTATTTGCTGTGCATCATTTATAATCAAGTTAAAACGAAAACCATTTTCATGATATACGGAGTAGTTAAGACTTACCTTCTTAAAAGTCCATATAATAGTGACAAACTGATAAAAAGTTCAAGGAGAGTTATCCTTAATATCCACATAAGACAAGGTTTCAGTTATTAGATAACAAAATATGTAGTTATGTATAAATATAAATCTCAAGTTTGTGTAAAAACAATCTTGAAAATGTATTTCTTTGAAAGTATTTTTGTAAAGAATTTTGGTTTTTGTTCAAACAAATTATCTTGATTTCTATTGATTGTCATAAACCTGCTTAAGTGACATTAACATATTTAAGAAGGGCAGCACAATAAAATGTTTTGTATACCGTGCATCAATTAATTTTCCTCAAAATTACATACATATAATAGACATTAAAACAATAGGTTTATACTAAACACTTACATCCTGAATTAAAAAAAAAACAAAACAAAACTAAACATGTTAATATTCATATGGAAATGAACAGGGATATCCCTCTTCAACCTTTCTGAGCATCAAAAAATGTGAAACTGATGTCATATTTTTCTTCCAGGTATCAATAAAAAAATTTCATAAATGCTAAACAAAAAAAGATTGATGAGGTTTTTCAAACTTCCTTTCAGTGGCAGTTCTCCGGTGTTGAGTAATATTATTACTTAAATCAAATGCTACACTTCATGATCAGGAAACCAAACTCATTATTAATGCATTTTGGTCTATGTATAGGAGACACGATATTAATCACACATCTAAAACAAAGTAGCATTTCATTCCGTGACTACTTTATAAATGAACATATGGTGAACATATGGGATAAGTTTTCAAAAATGGCTTGAAATGGAATATTTCCAGAATTGTCGAAATCATTACATTTGACTGTCAAGGATTAAAATTAAGAAATTTCGTCTCAAGCACAATGTATAGGAAAGATATAAACTTGGAATAAGAGTCAATGTTCTCGTTACAAATAATAATTCTTGAAACATATCTGTTCACAACACATGTACTAGTATTTGATTGCGATAAAAGACAGTGAGGAGTCCCCATAATTTAGAAAAGAAACAAAGAATAAAGCAAGTTTCTACAAAAAATGAGCATTATAGTAGCAAGAATACTAGTACCTGGAGGCAATCCACGTGTTTTAATGTTTAATTTTTATGTAACCTGTGTATCCTTAACTTTATGTAACATGTCTAACCTTGGTAGATTGTCTCTATCAGTAACAGTAAATTCTCTTTTTATACTTACTCTTGTTTTTCATTTTTATAATCTTTATCGTCAAAGTCTAGTTTGAAATCGCCCACTGTTCCTTTCTCTTTTACATTATTGTCATTTGAATCCAATCTGAAATCGGACTTTGGTCTTTTCTTCTCCTCTTTGCCGTCCTTCAAATTTAGTTTGAAATCTTCTGTTGCCTCCGTCTTCTTTGTTGCTCTGTCATTGATCTTGACTTCGAATCTAGTCACAGTGCCTCCATTTATTTCTTCTGTGCTCTTCAGCTTCAGTTCAAAATTTGACATTAAGCCCCCTTTAATTTCCCTTCCAGTAGATACCCCCAGGTTATTCCGTCTGGTGTCAGATATCCACCCCTCTGCATTGTAAAAGCACAGAAAAACAACCAACAAACATCCTCCGTTCATCTTCTGTCCATAAACCTACTACGTTTAACACCTTAATTTTAATTAAAAGTGAATTTTCAGACCCGGACGTTGAATAAATTTAAGAAGCGTTATTACTTTACGAGGCCAAACCTGTCATCAATCACATGTCAAAAAGAAGAAACTTACTATCACAAACTATTACTTACCTTTAATTGTGAAATTAACATCTGACCTGCACCACTAGAGAGATAAAAGCCACAGGAAATCTGAGAACTTGTGTTGTAACATCGTCCAAAACATGGCTATGGGTTCTATACAACAAACAGGTTAACAAGGTCTTTGGTTTTGTAATGAAAATCGCAAAAGCTGATATCTTCAAGGACAATTAAATTCTTGTATTTTACATCCAACTATGTGTTTAAGTCGCCGATTTGTTCATAAATATTTTATCGACATGGTAGCTTAATTAAAGTTGATGAAGCTATTCAAAAAACATGGACAATATTACTAAAACCTGACCACTGGACAAATAAAGGATCATAAATTGCCTTAATGTATTTCAATTTTATGACCTTCTAGCGATTAAAATGTAATGATAACTTATAATCAACCGCCACGGTCTATATTTTTAGCATGAATTTAGATTATCATACTAAATGACCAACATATTAAATTGCCACAAAGGCTTGGAGTTGTTTTAAAACAGTTCTTGGTTTCAATCTGACTATTCATATTCCTCATAAAAAACCATGTTTTGATAATTTAATAAAAAAGAAACATTACCACACTTTTTAAAGCTGAACAGGATTTTAATAATTAAAATCAAAACTTATTTATAACTTCTATTCTGTGTGTACATTTTATATGCATACATACTTCTTCTATTGTTATACTAGTATTTTAAAGACTTTCTTTGAGTTTTGAGATAGGTGATGATGACGAATAGTGATCGATCTCATAAAACCTACAAACAATACATTTCTGTGAACAGGGCAGATAAACACGGATCCCTGGAAATTTCAGAGGTGGGATCAGGTGCCTATGAGGAGTATACATCCCATATCACATCCGCCGTAAGCCCTATGTATTGATCAAATAGACGGAGTAATCAAAAGTCATATTTAGTGAAAAATAATAAAGAAAGAAAGAACTAGCAATTGGTATTAAATACTAGTATTTTAATTAAAATACGACAATGATGGATTGTATGTGCTAATAAGTTCACTATATAGACCATATAATTGAAAAAATGCTGACTTTTAAACACGTTCGTTGAAGTCCCTTAACATCAACTTATTTGTCAGTATCCTGCCTTGGTTTAAAAATTGATCGTACTCGGAGCATCTTCTTTAATATCGAATAAGTTAGGGGAAATAAGCACTATATACAGGTGGTAGCGAATATTACTACATAAATAAGGAAGGTTGACGAAAGAAAAGCTGAAGTCATCTCGTTTGTCTATAGTCTGTAAAACATCCAAATATGAATCAGATAAAACAGAATCTTTGTTGTCCTTTATTTTAAATTTACTGGTATAAATCGAGTCGACATATCAAAACAAATCAACAAAACGTCGTTGATATACATGCATATCTGAATGTCGAGTTGAGTGCCAACAAGAATTTTTTTTCTTCTCATGTAGAATTTTTTTAATAGATTATTAATTTATAGAATGTCGTCGAAAAAACTAGATTTTGATTTGAAGGCCAACAAGATTTTTTTCTCATTGGAATAAAATTTTGGTTCAACAGATCGGCTAATGAAATATGAAGATAACGAACAGTATTCAATCTCGGAGGTCCTATGAAATGATACAGATTTGGAGCAGAGCAAACACGGACCTCAACATTTAGAGGTGGAATCAGGTGCCATGGAGGAGTGAGCATCCCCTGCCGACCGGTCACACCCGCCGTGTGTTCCTTATCATGATCGAGGAAAAATAAGCGGAAAAATCCGTAGAAAGTTCAGTGTATAAATAATGGCCTTACAATTAGTATGAAAAAACGTCAGTCACCATTTGACTCAATAAAAGTTTGTCTGACTGACAAGGTCATTGTATCGACCATAAAACTTGCGAAATAATGACTTCAAACGATAACCTTGTCTCATCAACTTGTTTGTCAATAGCTTGCCTCGTTTTAGAAATTATTCATACTTAGAGCATGCTCTTGCGTATCGAATCAACTGAGAGACATAAACCCCATATGCAGGTGATTAAGGGTATATTGCTACATAAGTAAGGGAAGTTGATGATTGAAAAGCTGACGTCATCACGTTTATCATAAAGCTTTGTTGTTAGGTAACCATTAACGTCTTTTCTAGTAGAATATGTAAACATAAAAAAGATGTGTTAGACTCTGTGGTATCTTTTATTTCAAGCTCACTGGGATATATCTAGTTGACATATGATATATCGAAATGTCGAATTGAAGGCCACAGCTAGTGTTTGCTTCTTCTCGTGTAGAAGTTTTTGAATAAATTCTGCTTCATATGAATGCAAAAATAGGTCTGCTAATAACGGGCACAATTGGTACCCATGGAAATTCAAAGAGATTGTTGGAAGACCTGCAGATCTCCAAAAACTAAATAGATATATTGTCAGTCAGAAACTCAAGCAACTTTTTAATATCAACTTCAGAATACTTGTGTGTACAATCAGAATGCTTTTAAGGAAATAATTTTGCAAATGACCAATTACAAGGTAAGTACAATTTATGTTCATGTGAATGGAAGACTCGTCATAGGTTCGGATGCTGTAATTTTTCGGGAAAATGATTTCAAATTTCTACAAGGTTTTTGGAGTTTTTGAGAATCCTCATCTGATGTACACCACTTCAAGAATAAGGTGTATAAAACAGTGCGTCTGATGTTTCTTCCTCACATCAGTCATTTTTTCCTATAAAGATTTGTTTGAATATTTACAGGACCTTGTAATGTATATTTCTTTGTTTCTCTATTTTTTTTTGTTCTTTTTTGTAAGGATGTATATGAAGTTTTGAATTCCATTTTCAGCTCACCTGAACCAAAGGCTCAAGTGAGCTTTTTGATCAAAGAAAGTCCGGCGTCCGTCTGTCGTCTGAAAACTTTTCACATTTTTGAAGAACCACTGGGCCAATTTCAACCAAACTTGTCACAAAGCAACCTTGGGTGAAGGGAATTTAAATTTGTTCACAGGAAGTGTCATGCTCTCTTTCAAGGGAAGATAATTAAGAATTCGTGAAAATTTGGCGATGTCTTTTAAAAATCTTCTTCTGAAGAACCAATGGGCAAGAAAAGATGAGACTTATGTGAAAGCTTCATTACATACTCTAGATTCAGATTTGTTCGTATCATAACCCCCGGGAGTATGGTGGGGCCACTAGAAGGAGTCCAAGTTTTACATAGAAATATATAGGAAATGCCTTTAAAAAATCTTCTCGAGAACAACAAAGCCATGAGTCATATTATTATAGAAGTATCCTCACGTAGTGTAGATACAGGTTTGGTCCAATCATGACCCCTGGGGGTAGGACAGAGCCAAAACATTAGTCATATTAATATAGAAGTGTCCTCAGGTTGTGTAAATTCAAGTTTGTTCAAATCATGATCCGCAGACATAACAGGTGCCAAAGTTTTATATAGGAATATATAGGAAATACATGTATCTTTAAAAATCTTCTTCTCAAGAACAACTTAACCATTATTAGTCATATTTATACAGAAGCAACCCTAGGTATTGTAGAATCAAGTTTGTTCAAATTATGACCTCCAGGGGTTGGGGGGGGGGCACAACAGAGGGTCAAAGTTTTATATAAGAATATATAGAATCATATTGAAAAAATCTGCTCTTGAAAGAACGGCACAGCCAAAATTAGTCATTTTATTATAAAAGCATCCTCAGGTAGTGCAGATTCAAATTTGTTCAAATTTACATGTAGGGTGGGTAGGGTGGGCCTACAATGAGCGATCAGAGTTTTACATAGGAATACATAGGGAAAAATCTTTAAAATTCAAGAACAGCAAAGCCATGGTTAGTAATATTGATATGAAAGCATCCTGAGGTAGTGTTATTTCAAGTTCTTTTGATGTTTGTTATATTTACGGAATACTATAAGATGTATGTCTTGGGCAATAAAGATTATGCGAGTCCATCCCCGTAAACTTTTCAAAACTGAACTGATTTCTCCTTTTTAATCTGGTTATATATGAATAATGAAATTTCGTATACAAGTGTTGACCATTTGTCTTACATTGATTAAAGACTTCTTAGATAAATACAGGAAATACAGAAAATGGAGAGAGTTTAAAATTCTTTCAAGTATTCGGAATGTCTATTGATCTCATACTTATTTATTAAAACTTGGAGTTGAATATTGGTACTGAGGAATGACAATCTAATGATACGTGAACAGGAAATTAACAGAATTATAAGAATTATCTTCATACAGAAGGATTTGATAAACAGATCATTGGATTTGTTCAAGCTTCAAATATATAGCTCGATGATACTGAGACATGTTTACTAATTTCTTATACAAACAGTTTGAAAATATAGTAACAATAAGAAAGGCATATCAACTTTATCAGAACATACCATCAAAAGGGAGACAACCAGTGACCAATGATTATCTTTTCTCTCCAAAAAGTATTCCGAACCTTTAAAGAAGCATCTTCCTAATTTAAACATTGATATAAAAAATGAAGAACTTTGCGATTTTACTACAAATTCAGTCTACATTTTGTACTGAGTCTTTACTATGTTTTGTAAAGTCATACAAAATTTCAAGATAGCATTATCCATTGTTGTGATCTTTCCTCGATGATTAAAAAAAATTCAAGTTTATATATACTTGAAATACCATGACAATTGTCATTTCAGTTATGTTGCCATTTTTTTTTTCTTTAGAGAAGTTGACAGGCATGTATATGAAATATTGTAGAAGAAAACTTAATAAAACTTAGAGTATCTTTTATTTTGTCAGCTATTCAAATTAATTTAGGGTTATATGTTCAAATGTTGTAATATCACTGAAAATTAATAGTCTAACTAAAACGATGGTGATGTTTTGATAAATATTTGTACAATTCAAAGAAAGGAAATAAAATGCTTCAAATACAGTAATATACATGCATCAGAGTAACTTATGTTACACACTTCAAACATAATAGAGACATCCAAAGATAAGGGATATGGGCACTGCCCAGGCAGTTCATTGCGGACAATGCCGGAAATACGAATTGTGTTTAAAGTACCAACAATAACACCGACTTAATATCATGATTATCTTGGTAATACACCTCAGAAATTTAAAAGTGCTTCTATACACAAAGTCTGTCTAATGTTTATCATTCCTTGTTGGTTGGTTTGACCTACATCCATATGAACACGATATCACTGGGAATGGAGACACTTTTAGCTCTTGCGGTGGTAGGGTCTTGGAAATACTTGGCAGCATCCTGGATAAGACGAAAAATCGAGCAGCAGTTCCAGTATTTTGGCACCGTGTCCTGTTTAAATCTGTACCCAGTAAAAGGATGCCACGCTACACGCGTGAAATCAGCGAAATGTGGGCCACGAGGGTTGGAAGTCAACGGGGTAATGGACAGGTATATATATGTGATATATGTATGAAACCTGATGTGATTGAAAGATTTGTTTTCTTTAGCTGGGAGATGATTTCATTACGCTGTATGATCCATGATATCTATTGTGTAATAGATCTAGGTATGAATATAATTAAGTATTTTTATTTAAAAATGTTTAAGCTTATATACAAGTGACACGTCTATACGAAGAGTATATAGTATGGATACCAAAACACGAGATGTCGTGTGCGATTTTCAAGTACAAAGTAATTCAAAACCTCAATCTCAATTTAGACATACATATCGACAAAATACATTCTAAATGAAAAAAGAAGAATTCTGTGCATTAAATATTGTACTTATTTTACACAGGTGTATTATGGTAGTAGATAAACAGACGGGTCTTGGTCAGTATATGAGACATTTTCCAAAGATGACCTACATAAACATTACAGTGGAAGGAGAAGCAATTGTTTTGGATGCCCCAGGAATGGAAACACTGATTCTCCCGCACAGTCCAGACAGAAACTGTACAAAGTTCCTCTGCGAGTAACTGCCACTTACTCCCAAAGTTTTTAAAAGAATTTTTTTTCATTTTTTTTTAAGATCAGGAAGACTTTGTTCTTCTGTCGTTGAATTTTAATTAAAAAAAAAAAAAAAAGGACGAAAGGCTATTTTAAGTAACACTTCCAATTAAAGGAAATCATCAACGAAGTATAAGATCCTAAGTAAAATTGATTTTTTTTAAATTTCTTATATTACAGAATTTATAATAGTTTACAATATAAAGTACATTGTACATGCAGCTTTTAAATAATTTAAATAGTCTGCATAAATAAAACGGAAAGGAAACATGGTTATTTCTTATTAAGTTTTCACCTTCCATTTACCGAACTCTCAATATTTTTTGTAGGATACACGCCTGTAAGCTTTTGGTTCGAGACTTTGGTGACAAAGCTAGCAAATGGATCGGTAAATACCTCGGGAACGATAATCTGAGACTTGTATATTTCCTGGAAAATAACAACAGATTAACCATAGAGACGGAGAACAATCGTCGACAGGGAAACATCAAAATTTCACAGGAGGATAAAGTATGTCGGCATGGTATTCATCTTGCGTAAACACATTAAAATTATTTCAGTTGCAAATTGAGTTTAAAGCCCATGTTGTAAACGTGTAAACATTCCAAAAATCCAAATATTGCCATGACTGTGGCCAATAATTAAGAAACCATTCAAGAAAAAAATCATAGCTTCTTTGAATTTTCCTTTTTTTAAAAATATTTTTTGGTATAGATTTCGTTTTCCTGTATCTCGTCATATTTACTGGGGAACGAGAGAACCTTAGAAGAAATTTCCAGACGGACCACGGAGCCGGTCAAGATGGACAACTTCAGACCTAATATTGTTATTGACGGTCTGTCGCCCTTTGAGGAGGTGATAAACTGCTATAAAATTTCTATATTAATTAATACAGTCATCCACTGTGGCATACTTTATAATACAAATTAATTTGAACTGAATTTACAGGACACGTGGTCTCAGATACGCATCGGAGAGGACACTATATTTCGCTGTCAGGAACCTTGTAAAAGGTAAGAAAATTGGTTCCAGCAAGGCAGTATATCCTTAGTTAGTATAGGTCCCTGGTTTTAGTTTCTTTTTTTTAATGAACTTATTTTAGAAACATGAGCTGCATCATTGGATTGGATCTTGGATACACTTGATAATTCTAGTTGTCAGTCACATCCATATATTTATGCGATTGAACTTTTAAATGATAGTTTTTTTCGCCTTAGATGCATGGTAACAACTATAGACCCAGTCACAGCAGAAAGAAGCCAGAGAAACGAACCACTGAAAACTCTAAAAACGTATGTTATCAAAAAACCCGCTGATAAACTTGTATGTGTACATCCTTAGTTTTTTCATAATATAAGTATCCTTTTAAAAAAAATCCTCCATTCTTATAACTTTTTAGATATAAAGAGGAAGTGGGCGGGGTTCCGACCAGTTTCGGTGTATATGCAGCCGTGGAGTCTGGAGGGGAGATTCAAGTGGGGGATCAAGTTTACGTCCTTAAGTGATATTGGAAACATTAAAAAATACATCTCAGGGCGTTAATGTTTTTCTTTGTCCAATATCACAGATGGTTTTCTAAATAAAGATATAAATGCTTTACTTTGAGAATATGCATACACGTTAATATTATGTTAAGGAGGCTGGGGGGGGGGGGGTCAACAAATTAACCATCAGATATAACTTATTTTTTTTTTAGATATGATATCTTAAGCTGTCAACTATCATTTGTCAAAGAAAAAATTAATACATTTTAGTTTTAAAATTTGATAATTTTTGTATATCTTTATATGGAGCTCTTCTTCTAAAGGAGATCAATATAGTCTAAAAATGGCCACAACCACCCAGCCCTCTTAATCTCGACTGAGATTCGACTTGGCTGGATATCTGGACTGACGTCTTCAAGTCGAATCTCAGCCGGGATTAATATTACAAATGTAATTAAGTTTAATACATCTGTTCCTTTTTTTAACAATAATCAGTAAATTTCATAATATTTTGAGCAAGTCAAATAATAAAATTTATATACTTAACTAATTTCATTTGATAATAATTGTTGTAAAGTTATCTTGTGTTCAATTTAAAACTATTTAGCGTTAATTTACCGATGATGTACTTTTCTGACCTTAATTTATCATAGCTTTAAGTTTTTTTATGAACAACAAAACGAAATCTCGAGTTTCTAAAATTTATAACTTTATTTGGCAAATTCAAATTACTTTGCAATAGGAAATGAAAAAGGGTAATACCAAACACAGAAATTTTAAGGACATACGAATAAATGTAATTTTAATTTTGAAAAATGAAAAAAAAAATACAAAACTGATTTCGGTGATTAACGAATGTTTTATTTAATCGTTACGTTGGATACCGCAAAATATAGCGCCCGCCATTGATTAACCTGCAATCGGATTAACTGGCACTGTTCCAGGTCTGAGTTCCTGCAAACTCTTCGATAACAGACAATTACCCTGACTTCATATTATGACTTCCCAGGTAGTCTAGTGGTTAGGATTCCGCGCTCTCACCGCGGCGGCCGGGGTTCGATTCCCCGTCTGGGAATAGTTTTTTTTTCCCCTTCCAGTTGAATTTAAAAAAAAAATTGCTGCGCCGTCGGAAATAGGGTGCCGGGTTGGGGGTAACCCCCTCCTCAGAGCCAGATTTTTTTTTTTTTATACAAGGGTACCGTTTATTAGTTTCTGGTGCATTTTTGAAGTCATTTTTTTTTCTTTACATATTAAATAAGCAGAACCTAGCAGCATTACCCTAGACAGATGAATTTATCTTGTTAAAAAAAAAGAAGATATTTCTAAGGAGGGGGTGCAATCACACACCCTGTTCTGACGGCTCTTTTATATAAAAAATTTAACCAACTTTGAATTTGTTAAAACCATAATAAAATAATAACTTGGAAAAAAGGTCTTATAAAAACCAAATTCTACTAAAGAATACCAGGGCCAATAATTAGTTAAAAAAAAAATCAATAGTAAAGCACTTTCATGAAGCCTAGATACAAATTGGTTAAAATCATGGCTCCAAGGAAGATGGCAAAAAGACAGTAAAAGTTTTACATGGGAATAGTTCAGAAAATCATTTTATAATTATCTCAAGAGTGCAGGGGCATGGTCAGTCTTTCAAATATGCAAGCATCCCCTTGTGTTGAATCGAGAAAGCAAGAACATGAAGATTTCCATTTTTACAGTTGACATGAAGTTAATACATATATACCCACATACACTGTGTATTAAATTGCTGAAACCATGGGCTTTATTTCAGAGATAAGTTTCAATAAGAAATAAGAAATTTCATTTATCTATATGTACTCGTATATATTAATTTGTCAAGAAGAGAATGATGACTTGGTTAAATTGTGGCCTATGGGCCTCATGTCCATCACTTCATTTGAGTCATTTGTAAAATAAAGTATAAAATTAAAAACTGACAGAAATTTTCTCTCCATTTATTTTTCTCTGTATTGTGTACGCATATATGTTTTCTTGAGTTTGTTTCTTCTCCAGTTTTTCCTCTTTGTTTCATCAATAAACATCTCACCAAATTCACATTGTTTTCCCGAGGCACAAGGTCTTATAAATTGAAGGTCTTTTCTGACAATGTTTGAACGAATCACATCAAAGTCTTTTCTCACATCTGACAATACTGTTCTGGAGTTTGGAATAGACATATCCACATCCATTAACATATACCTGAAACAGGAGGAAGTGTACTAAAACATTTTTATTTGAACCCCTTCCTAAGGACAATCCAAATTCTGTATAATAAGCATAAATCATGTGTATTTAAAGTAATACTTATTATATTTTTTAAAGCCTAGCAATGCTAGAATTATCCTATAATGTTCCTCTTGATATATAAGTCATTAAATTACTACACAAACAATGAAGGCTCTTGATGCACTTACCATTGTAGTGAATAGTTTAAAACTTTGGAAAATAGACTAATTTTTTAAAATAGAAAGATTTGGTCTGTCCTTTTTTAATACGAATGTACATTACAAGTACAGTGAATGGTCTACCTTGCCTTCGTCCACTTCTGGCCATCAGGACTGGACATTATGTATGGCGTGTCTCTTAGTCCTAAATGTTCTACTCTCTTGATGACCCCTTCTCCACTCCATACTGTTTGACACACGCGTTTCAGCACCTGCACTGTTTCTGTCTGTAATTAGAGTTTCTTTAATTGCCTAATTTCACTTTGAAATCAACACTGTTCAATAAACACTGAATATTTCAAGACCATTTAGAAACAAGAGGCCCATGGGCCACATCGCTCACCTGAGCACATTGGCTAGGCAAAAGCACAATCAGTTCAGTATTGAAAAGACCGGGGGGGGGGGGGGGGGGCTGAATTTTAAACTATCTGATGATGCTTCCATGTCAATATAACAAATGGCTTTGTACTTGAGAAGATTTTAAAAAAAAAATTCCCATATATTCCTTTGTAAAAATTTGATCCCCCATTGTGGCTCCTCCCTATCCCAGGGGTCATCATTTGAACAAACTTGAATCTACACTACCTGAGGATGCTTCCATATCAATATGACTGAACATAGCTTTTCTGTTCTTGAGAAGAAATATTTTTTCTATATGTTCTTATGTAAAACTTTCCATCCCCCATTGGGCCCCACCCTACCCCTGGGGGTCATCATTTGAACAAAATTGAATCTACACTACCTGAGGATGCTTCCATATCAATATGACTAAACATAGCTTTTCTGTTCGTCAGAAGAAGATATTTTCCTTTATATTCCTATGTAAAACTTTGATTCTCCATTGTGGCTCCGCCCTACCCCCGGGGGTCATGGTTTGAACAAACTTGAATCTACACTACCTGAGGATGCTTCCATATCAATATGACTAAACATAGCTTTTCTGTTCTTGAGAAGAAATATTTTTTCTATATGTTCTTATGTAAAACCTTCCATCCCCCATTGGGCCCCACCCTACCCCTGGGGGTCATCATTTGAACAAAATTGAATCTACACTACCTGAGGATGCTTCCATATCAAAATGACTAATCATGGTTTGCAGTTCTTCAGAAGAAGATATTTTCCTATATATTTCTATGTAAAACTTTGATCCTCCATTGTGGCCCCGCCCTACCCCCGGGGATCATGATTTGAACAAACTTGAATCTACACTACCTGAGGATGCTTCCATATAAATATGACTCATCATGGCTTTGCTGTTCTTGAGAAGAAGATTTTTAAAGATTTTTCCTATATATTTCTATGTAAAACTTTGATCCTCCATTGCGGCCCCGCCCTACCCCCGGGGGTCATGATTTGAACAAACTTGAATCTACACTACCTGAGGATGCTTCCATATAAATATGACTCATCATGGCTTTGCTGTTCTTGAGAAGAAGATTTTTAAAGATTTTTCCTATATATTTCTATGTAAAACTTTGATCCTCCATTGCGGCCCCGCCCTACCCCCGGGGGTCATGATTTGAACAAACTTGAATCTACACTACCTGAGGATGCTTCCATATAAATATGACTCATCATGGCTTTGCTGTTCTTGAGAAGAAGATTTTTAAAGATTTTTCCTATATATTTCTATGTAAAACTTTGATCCTCCATTGCGGCCCCGCCCTACCCCCGGGGGTCATGATTTGAACAAACTTGAATGTACACTACCTAAGGATGCTTCCACATGAGTTTCATCTTTCCTGGCCCTATGGTTCTTGAGAAGAAGATTTTTAAATGATGCCATTATTTTTTCAGTAATTCCTAATTATCTCCCCTTTAAAGAGGGCGTGGCCCTTCATTTGAACAAACATGAATCCCCTTTACCCAAGGATACTTTGTGGCAAGTTTGGTTGAAATTGGCCCAGTGGTTCTTGAGAAGAAGTCGAAAATGTGAAAAGTTTACAGACAGACGGACAGACAGACAGATGGACAGACAGACGGACGCCGGACAAAATGTGATCAGAAAAGCTCACTTGAGCTTTCAGCTCAGGTGAGCTAAAAAGTAATATTTATCAGTAAACCTGGAAAAGCATCTCTTTTAAAATGAAGCTTTCTCATTTAAAGGCTTTGGATGTATTTCAACCTGTCACACTAAAAACCAGCTTTATCTAAATAGTAAATACACATGTACTTGCATAATACTAGATCTTGTCAAAACAATATAAATGTACATACAAGAAAAATTGTTAACTTCATTAACTATTACTATTCTATGAGTTCAGGTCCTAAAATTCAGACGATATGTATTCTTAAGTTTAAATGGAACCATTATATTTAAACTTTCACAATTTTTTTAATTAGTAAATGTTTCAATCTTACCCAATACGTCAATTCATAACCAAAAAGGCAAAAGCCAACACATAACCAAGATTTTAGTTCTGAGTTGCCTCCTTCAAATAACACAATGGTTATTTGTGACTAATATACACACTGATATTTGGAAATATTAATTATTTGTTTGAATGAAGATGTTGAACAACCCCCCCCCCCCCCCCAAATGGCCCCAATATTAATAGACATTAATGAGCAGAACCATGAAGGAAGCAGAATAATATTCATTTCCCTTCATTCACCAATGTGTGACATTGTTTATCAAAGTAGGGACAGACAAAACAATTAATGTCTGAAAACTATAAACTCAAAAGATCTATTTCAGGAGGTTGTGTATGTGCATTTGCGTGCATTTCTCTTTTTTAAAAAAAAAAAACACACAGGAAAGGGAGGGGGCTCTTAATAAAATTTTTCATATTTTATGAACACCAAATTAATTTTCTTGGAAAAAATATGTGCATGTTTTTTGGGGGAGTCCCACTCCAACCCTGGTACTAAGTGCATGTCCTGTGTTTTATCACAGACATAAATAATATTTTATTTAATATATGTCTCTGGTTTTATGCAGAAAAACTGTAAGAATATATTTCACATATTATTCCTCACAATTACACTAAAAGCACAGAACTATTTTTCCAAAATTTATTTGGTATAAAATTTCACTTTAGTACATAAAAATATAACAAAAAATTTAAACCCTTCTGTCAACCAGAGACAAGGCAAGTTACGATTCAAATTTTGCCTTTGCCTACAATACAACTTGACTTCTCCAAAGTGAACTCATGACCAGATTATGATTAAGACTAGTGAACTCTTGGCCAGGACCTTGGTTACGAATTTACTTTGCAGTTTGGATAAAAGCTGACATGTTGAGTAGGAGTTGACTTGGTTATAAGTAGGTCAGGTTATGAGTTGATTTAATATCAAGTGCAGCGAGCTGCGCAAAGCGCCGCTCGTCACTGCGAGCTCTTAAAGCAATGCCTCAAGACACACAATGCAATGATTGTTGTTCTCGCTGCTAACTTCGTTCTCGCGGTAACAACAATTAAAAAATCACAAGAAATAAACTCACTTTAATTTAATGGATATTGCATACAGATATTAAATGGGTTCTTTGTTAAAATTTTGCAATCTTCAAACTTCGTTTCTGGAAATGCATCTAACATACGACGTCATATGATGTCACAGTCTAGGTGTTCCAAACGTCTCGTGCAGTTTGAAGAGGCGGATCTTAAAATTAAGTGAACAACTGCGCCCGCCCCAACGGTCGCACAGTCAACATATTACCCCCTTTACATTCAAAATGTCCCATACTCAACAAGTATTTTCAGAAACAGGACAGCTATATGTTTCATCAAATTGAGCATTTTTTAAAAAAAAGGTCTATTGTTCTCATGACTTGTGAGGATCATACTTTAAAAGTTTGTCATTTAAATGCAGCTATGGAAAATGTTCAATTAGAGGACATGGACAGTAAACTTTATTCAAAACTAGTGGCAGAATTCAGCCACGGTTCGGATAACTAGTAACTGTCTGTACTGGTCTGTACTGAATAGTTCAATACTGTATTTTTTCACAACGTTTCCACGTGGCACAGGTATAAATAATTACCTTAGCAAGTGCTTTTGTTATAATGGACATCTCATAGGATGGCATTTTCTTCCTTTAATGTGTCTCAACAATATTACAATGGGATGCGTGTTTTCCTTGACTTTCAATTTATTCAGTGTCAAATTTACGCTTTATTCAGTAAATCGTCTAATAAATTATTCGAATGTGTAGAAGTGGAAAATCCCACATATATTTATGTCATATAATTCACAAGCATTAAAATTATTTTGAATAAAAATATGTATGACAAAAATATGAAGATACTTTATCAAATCTAGAATAAAACATATCAGATAAAATGCATAAAAGTACGATTTGACAAAAACTGAACAAATTATGAAAAAGCGTTCAAGTGACCTTACAACAGCGGTCAAAAATGGCCACTTCGGGACTGGGTCTCTTGGTAAGAACCTTTTTTAATTGAGCTCACTGTAATTTTTTTTTTTCAAACTGTAAATTGACACTTTGTTTAAATTGCTCTCTATTTAATTACTAAATTTTGCAAATAGTTCTGTGAACAACATTACATTACATGTTTTCTTTTATTTGACCTTTACTCACCGTCAACCGGTGATTTTTTTTTTTTTAAAAAACACTACATTAGAATATGGTTATCAATTTCTAGCTATTTAAAATAATTTTTAAAAATGTGATTAGTCTCTTTATCAGACTAGTAGAGTTGCTTCCAGGAACATTCAGCATTAGAACTTAAATTATATCAGTAAAGTTCGAATTTTCTCCATTGAATACCTAAAATAAAAGCTTCTCTATACTTATCTCAGTTGAATACAACAAAAATGCTTTTTATGTACATGCACATTCTAAAGCACTGTAACATTTTTTTCTTTACAGGCAAGGAGTTTTAGTACATCAGTACGATGCAACAAGCTTGTTCAGGTAACATGTCGTGCTTGATTTCTTTATTTATTGGGTCCGGAACAATCTTTTGATTAAGTTATATGGCTTGATTTAGGTATTCAAAATACCTTGAGTTAGCTATAACATGTTGACGGTGCAACCGTTGGTGTGAGTGCAGATGTTCACATAATTTTAAGATCCACCTCTTCAAACCACACAAGACTTTTGGAGCATCCAGACTGTGACGTCACATGCTGTTGTATGTTAGCTGCATTTCCATAAAATAAAGTCTGAAAAGTGCAAAATTTGAACAAAGAACATTTAATCTACTATCTGTATGCAATATCCATTAAATTAAAGTGAGTTTATTTTTTGTGAACTTTTGTTGTTACCGCAAGAACGAAGTTAGCAGTCAGAACAACAAGCATTGCATTGTGGGTCTTGAGGTAACTGGGGGAAAAAATTGTTTGGATCAATGTGCAAAGTCCGAATTTTCTCTTCGCCCAGGCGTTGCTTTAAGAGTGCAGTTTGCTTTTAAAAAGTTTTATACATTGTCACTTCCATCCACACGAGGAGCACTACTCGATCATGCTTCTTTTTTTTCTTTAATATTACTTTTGGTACGGGTGAGGTCAGAATGGTAAACCTAGGAGAGGTTTATCTTTCCAGTTGTAAACCAAGATGATTATGAAAATATTGTATTAATTCAATTCTTCTCTGCTATGTCTCCTTAAACTAAAATAAATATCTTTTTAAAAAATCTTAAAGATTATGCAGAAAAAAACATAAAATGTAACCATTTCCTTCAATTCATTTCAGTCTAAATCAGTAGAGCTACTGTCTCTCGATAAAGACTTCTGATTGTGATAGTAAACTTTCTCTGTTTTACAGACTCCCGTTCAGGTGTATGGTTTGGGTGGCAGCTATGCCTCAGCCCTGTATTCTGCTGCAAGTAAGGAGAAGGCACTCGACTCCGTAGAAAAGGATCTCAAATCTGTAAAGGTACGTAGCTGATATGACTTCTTAACAAGTAATTTTTCATATATATATATATATATATATATATATATATATATATATATATATATATATATATATGTATATATATATATATATATTTACATGCTTGTAGCTTTAGATTTATTTGATATTTCTCAATTTTGTAGCAACTATGGGAGAAAGACACCAAATTCAGGGACTTTTTTGCAGATCCCACAGAAAATGCCAGACGAAAAAAGAGTAATAACTTCCTTGCATAAATTAATTGTTTATAAAGACTCTTAGTTTACCAGGGCTCTAAATATAATTCTGCTAAACATTTTTCCTGCATAAATTTTGATGTTTACTTATTGTAATGAAATAGATACATTGCAGATAGACTAAGAGTCCATCAATTTTAACATTGTTACCAATTTCAACATGTTAAATTCTCTCCATCTAGCTTAATACAGAAACTTTCACAAATATTGATTGATATATATCATGTACTATAAAGGCTGAGCTGTATTTTCTAAGAGTGGATACTTTATAAATACATATTTGCTTGATTGTACATCTTGTCGTCCTTCTATATTCAGCTGCCTTTCAGTCTGTTGTGAAGAAGAATGGTTACTCAAAAGTGACACAGAATTTGTTTGGTAAGTATGCAAATTTTGATATATTTTTGTTGAGGCTCTTGATATTTAAATTGCTTGTATTTAATAACTGTCAGATATGAATTTGTTTAGATTTTGGAAATGATTTTTCCATTTTCATGCTGAAGTTTGTCTCTTTCAGACACAATGGCAGACAATGGACGGCTAAACAAACTTACAGAAGTGATTAACCTTTATATGGAGCTAATGAGTGCCCATAGGGGAGAGGTCATCTGCAAGGTCACTGTAGCTAAGGTAACAAAATCTTTTAACATAATGCCAGCTTCAAATCCTTAAAATGCATTGTGAACCCTGAAACCTCTCTTTGTTCAGAAAAAAAATTGTAAAAACTAGATATGATCCTATAATTATTTGTCTTGATAGTAGCTGAATAGAAATAATATAAAACATGCAATTAAATCTCTTCTGTGTGTCTCTCTATCTCTGCTTAATGTTAAGCTTTAAGCAGTTTGAATTTTTGTAAAATGGATAGGAAACATTAATTTAAGGCATATCAAACTAACACCAGATGTACATGTATTTTTGAAAAATTGTTAGAATTAGAAATATTTTTTAATGATTTTTAAGTCATTTCTTGTAGAAAGTACTGACTACAAAAAGAAAATGTCTTTTTCATTTTTATACCTCGTATTTTTTTCTAGCCTTTAGATGCTAGCACCAGTAAACAACTCCAGACCATTCTAGAGGGATTTCTACAGAAGGGACAGAAACTCTACCTAGAGACTGAGGTAAAATTGCTTTAAAAATTCTTACTAAAAATTTTTCAAAAATGGATTGTCTGCCTTATTTTTCTCCATATCTGCACTAGCAAACATCTTTGCCATAAATCCTTTACAAGAAGATAAAACCCCCTGAAATAGGGGAGAAATTTTAAAACTCCTTTAACAAAATTGTATGTAAATGATCATTTTATTGGGACATGAATTATATTTTGTTCTGTGTTTCAGGTTGACCCAAGTCTTGTTGGAGGTATGACGGTGACCATTGGGGATAAGTTTATAGACATGTCCCTCAAATCCAAGATCAAGCTCTACACCGACATTCTAAAGAGTGCAGCTATCTAAACAAGACAGCACTAACTTTTATTATAATTTCATACATGTGTTTGTTTACCACTAGGATGAATAAAAAGGCTATTTAAACTTAAGATTTGATGAGGTCTTACTTTAGATACATTGTATAGATTAGTGATTTTGAAAATGTGTAACACTTTCAACTTGCTGATAAGAAGATAAGTGAGGAGAAGATTGCTATGACAGTTTTGAATCGTGAGCTGATAAAGAAAAAAAAACCTGAAATTAAAATAGGGATTTCCAGAAGTGAACAACTGGATGAGGGGATGAACTAAGTGGCACTTTTTTCCCGCTTTTGTATAGAAGAGATTATGCTAACCTCTGAAGGAGGTGTCCTGGATAAATAATAGATTGATTGATGATTTGAAGTTTAATGTCTCGGTGGGAATTTTTCATTCATATAAAGAGCTGTAGATGAGTTGCTAAATTTTAAGATGTTTGCTTTGTATAATGCCAATGCATGGAAACATGCAGTCCCTGTTCTTCAAGCATCAGTTCATAGGTGGGGGACCTACATATCTGAAAGTGATTGCTTTGTATTGGAGTACATGTAGTCATAATTTTACAGTCATAGAAATGTCCTGAAAAACTACATTAAACTTGAAGATAACGAGGTCAAAAAATTATAATACATTTGGAAAGATCTTGTCACAGGTAATACACATGGAACTTCTCTCATTCAAAACAAAGTTATTACCTATGTTGAAATTTTGAAAGTAGGTCAAACGTAAGTCAAAGTCATTAGGTCAAAACCATGGTACAGTCGGAAAGGTCTTCACAGGCGATGCGTAAATGAGGATGTCAGCCATGAAGTGACAAAGATGTAAAAAATTGATAAATAATATTCCGTGTGATTTTGTTTTGATCATTATTTAGGCCCGTAGCAGCGGTTTAAAAGTGGGGGGGGGGGGGGCTTGCCAAAGAAATCTGACAAGCAAAAAAGAAAAAAAAAAAAAAAACCTAAATTGACCAAAAGTGGGGGGGGGGGGGGGTTGCAACTCCACAAAATTATCTGACAAAAAAAAAAAAAAAAAAAAACCCTTTCTATAGTCCAAATCCTGGAATTTGCCAGTGCTCGACCTTACAAAATCAAAAAATGGGGGGCGAGGTGGGGGTTGCAACTAGCATCTTAACAAAATTTACTATAGCTAAATACTATACTCGGAGGAAAAAATGGGGGAGGGGGTTGGCTAGTCCCCCCTTCTCGTTCTACGGGCCTTTTATCTGATAGGTGCTACAAAATGAATGTATAACGAACAGCGATAAATCTCATAAATCCTTTGTATTTCCTCTGTATAGCGATCATGTTAACAGAGTTACAATGACCTAACAGTTATCAGTCAAAATGCAACCCACAAAAGGTTGTACATGTATTTGCAAAAAAGTTAAGGAATAAAGGCGTTGAATTTAATTTCTTTCAAATGTTATTGTCAGTGGTTTTGAATATTTCTGAGGATTTGATGTAAACATGAAAAAAGCCGCAGGAGTGAAAACATAAAAATCCTAAAATATAAAGAAATTACATGTACAAAGTTTCTATGACGTTCTAACTTTTTACCATTCCCCTTATAAATCTTTGCACTTTTTAAAATCACTAGATATAACACTAATGAGAAATCGTGAACGAAAACTTAACTATATGAATAAACATTTATTTTACTTGTAAATATAAACATATAGATCTAATACATGCATCTAATGTAATGATTTTTCAAATAAATGTAGCAGTTAGCCATAAAATTTATGTACACATTTGCCCATAATTGTAAATGACAAAACAAATTCTGAAGAAAAACATAAATAATCCACAGATCATTACAATCAAAGCCTTCTCTCAACCCCGCTTTGGAAATCACCATGGCTATTTATACGGAAAAAAAAGTTTGTAGAATTGGCCTTAAAATGTATGTACACATTTACAAAATTTAATAATTATAATTGACAAAATAAACATAAAAAAAAACAAAACAAAAAACAAAAACAAAAACAAACAAAAACAAAAAACAAACAAACAAACAAAATACAAATAACAATCAAAGCCCTCTCTCAACTCCACTTTGGAAATCACTATGGCTATTTATAGAATATTTTATTTAGCACAAAGCAGTAATATGCAAATGTTAGAAAAATTCCTACCCCCCCCCCCCCCCCCCCCCCAGAGAGTATTGTATATATTCTGTTCAGTATGTTAAAGATATCATGGAAGGTCCAAAGAGACTAGGTTACCGCCATGATTGTTACCGCTATAATCCTAGTTCAGTATTTGACCTCCCTTTTACTCTTTTTGACTGACAAAGGGGTGTGTCGCCATTTACCTAAGCTGAGAAATTAAAATTAATGAATCAGGGCTAAGGCGAAATCGGAACTCGATTTATATAATTAAAAAAAATATTACAATTATATCTCATAAAACACCATTAAATGAGAACACATTTGTTCGAATAAATATATTAAGAAACCGTATATTTATTTATTTATTTTTTTTTTAAAAATGCTATAATTTGATTGTAATTCCATCATAATATAGGAAGAAATTGATGAAATATTAAGATTTTTAAAGGTGCAACATTTCAAAGATATTTGTGAATAAGTCTATAAAATAAGTTATTTTAAAATTCAAATACTATGTTTACTAATACTTGTGTCATATTGTAATTTTTGAATTTACCGGGTGGTGGTACATACAAAAATTAATTTTTGTATTTACTACCATCCGGTAAATTAAAAAAATTACAATATGACACTTGACAAAATTTCACTGAAGTATTAAAAGCAGTTGGGTTTTTTTTTTCATTATAACTTAAACATTTTTTTTTCATTCAGCAAACAACATCTGAAGTGGCAAATGAACAAAGATCTGCAGATTATTAACTTCATTTATTTTCTAAAAAGTCCATATTCAAATTTAGAGTATCTTAGAAAGTGTTTACTTGCTTAATACTCACAGTTTCCTTTCAAAAGATAAAATTCTTCAAAATCACCTTTTAGTTTTAAATATACTTTTAACATTCCAGTCCATGGAAGTGAGTTTTATTTACCTTACCTATACTGGACTCCAAAAATTCATAAAAAAATCCTTACAAACAAAGATACAGTGTATATTGTAGGGTCTAGTTAATATCCAACCAAGTTTCTATCCTCATTTCTCACCAAAATTTTAACAGCTGTGAAGGAGAAACTTCAGGAGTACTGTACAACATATTCGAGATGTGGTGTTAATCAGATGTTGATACTGAAGAACTCCAAGGAAGGTTTAGAAAATTTGAGATCACAAAATTTTACCAGCAATTGCATCAAAACACACGACTTTTCAACACTTATACAACTATTCCTCAGGATGAATTAAAAACTAACCTTTTTGACATCAAAGAAAACTAGTACTGTTTCTTCAATAAAAATGGTACACGTAAATTTAACATACCTTGTCATTGGTCATCTGCAAACTTATTTTATTATGCCCCCGTATCGAAGATTCGGGGATATATAGTTTTTTGCCCTGTCCGCCCGTCTGTCTGTCTGTTCGTCTGTTTGTCCGCAAAAACTTTAACATTGCCCATAACTTTTGATTGGTTGGAGCTATGGCTTTGTGGATTTCATATATTCCATTGAACTCGAAAGAGAAGACACCACAGTCTGCCACATCTGTTTCATATTTGGATATTTTACTAGAATAAGACATTGATGGTAAATTAACATTTAAACTTTATGATAAACACGATGACTTCAACTTTTCTATCGTCAACTTCATTCATTTAAATAACAATATAATATTTTCACTGAATATGGGGTTTATGTGAAAGGTAAAGATAACAAACAGTGATCGATCTAAAAAAGAAAACCCATAAACAATACAAATATGTGAAGAGGGTGTAAAACATGGACCCCTGGAAATTCCAGAGGTGGGATCACGTGCCTAGGAGGAGTAAGCATCCCTTTCTAAGCAGTCACACCCGCCGTGAGCCTTATGTATTGATCAGGTAGATGGAACTATCTGTGGTCAATTCAGTACAAAAACAAAGGCCTAACAATTGTTATGAAATAAGTCAGCCAAAATTCGACCCAATAATAGGCCATTATAACGACCATAAAATTTACGAAAAGATGACATTAAACGAGGCTGTTGAAATCCCTGTAACATCTACTTATCAATGAGTAGCCTGTCTCGCTTTAAAAATTGATCGTTCTCAGAGCAAGCTCTTGAGTATAGAATAAGTTGGTAGACATTAACGCCATAAGCAGGTGATAGTGGAATGCATGTTTTACTAGATAAATAAGGAAAGTTGACGATGAAAAAGATAAAGTAATTTCGTTTGTCATACAATTTAATTGTTAATTGGCATTTGTCGTCTATAGTCAGTAAAATATTTAAATATGAAACAGATGTGGCAGACTCTGTGGTATCTTTTATTTCAAGTTCACTTGGATATATCGAGTCGACATACGAATGAAAATAACTATTGTTAATTGATAAAACATCATCTATGTATCTGAATGTCGAATTGAAGACCACAGCTAGCGTTTTCCTCTTCTCGTGTAGAAGTTTTTGAATGCTTCATAGGAATATAAAAACAGGTCGGCTAATAAAGGAGCACTTCGGAATTTCAATAGTTTGTTGGAAAACGGTCTCCGAAGACTACATAAATGTTGTCAATGTGGAACTCCGACATCCTTTTAATATCAACTTCAGAGTACTTGTGTACAATCAGAGTGGTTTTTAACGAATTAATGTTGCTGATGACCAATCACAAGATGTGAAAATTTTCGAGTTCCATAATTTAAGAAGCTGTTGTCTATGATATCAAAAAGTCTTAGGTTTGAATGAATATGTACCAAAAGTATGAAGCATGAAGATAATGAACAGTATTCAATCTCGAAAGTCCAATGAAAACGATACGAATTTGGAGCAGAGCAAACACGGACCTAAAAATTTATCAGGTGATCAGGTGTTATGGAGAAGTGAGCATCCTCTGCTGACCGGTCACGATCGGAAAAAAACGGAAAAATCCGTAGACAGTATCAAAATCACCCTGCAATTCCTCTTATTCAAATTGTAAGATACTTCTGCTATGTGTCCGAAAATTATATTTTTGGACACTTTTAAAATCACTGAATTAAAAATACATTCAAATGCAGGTTGAACAACAGATACCAGGTATGTCTTTCAAGAATTAACAGTTTTCAATTGCAAATGCGACCATGATTTATTACAACTGCAAGTCAGTAAGATAAGAAGAGTCTTGGACCAATAAAGCAACAGAATTGGAGATATCACTTAATTAGTCTTGTACTCATTAACATTTAAAAATTGTTAATTAGTGAAAGACAGATAGATAGACATTATAACATTTTTTCTCTCTTTTTCTTATAATTTTATTAAAAAACAATGCATGTTACAGTTTTCAGATCAAAATAGAAACATTTCCACATAGTGTATATTGAAGTTAATGTTGTCAATTTATCATAAGAAAAAGAACATTTTATTCATAAGATTTAATGACCAACATGTCATCCCTGTATCTTCATTTTACGAATACCTCAGTTGAGCATTTTGGTCCACTGGCCTTTAAATTTATAATTCTTAATCTTTTTAATCAAAAAATGTACATCTTATCAAAATCTACAGGGGTCATTTTTCTCTATGTAGGATATGCAGATTTTTTTAGGGTAACGCCACTTTTTTTTTTACAGACAAAAGGGTCTTTTTCGACGTCGAATAATGACCGGGTTTCATTTTTCGATGTAGAAAAATGACCCCCGGTCATTATTCTATGGGGGTCACTATTCGTCTTTACACCTGCAAACAATTCCATTGCTCTTGTTCTTTTCTCAAATATCCTTCAATCATTTTTACATTTTTATTTCAATGTTTATCTATGAATGATACGAGGGTCGTTCAGTAGCTACTGCAAAACGTCATCAAAAAATTAAAAAAATAAGAAAAACACAAAAAGCAATCTTTTTAGATATTTAATCCTTCAAAGTATTCCCTGTTAATCTTTACATAAGTCTCAAGTTTCTTTAAACATAACAGAACTTTTTGGGTGTCAAAAGACACTGATGGATAGCACTCCCCTCGTCAGATCTAAAATACCAGATTCTTTCTTTGATGGTTTTCTTGAGTTCTTGAAAGAAAAAAAATGTCACAAAGACTAAGATCTAGCGAATACGGGGGATGTTTAAACTTTGTTCCTTTTTTTTTCAAAATATCCTTTACATCTCTATGCTTTTTTGCAGCAGCATTGTCAGGTACAAGAAATCACCCTGGGTACGTATACTTGTGTTTGGACTTCTTACAGAAAACCTGCTTATCTTTCCTCAATACAATTTAAACATAAAAGCTAGCTACTACTGACGGTCCTTCCTTTGGGTGTCGGCACTGGACATGTCGAGTAAACATAAAACCCGTATAAGACCTGTTTGGAATTCCGGCTATTCTCTGCAATAACAGGACGATAACGTCCTCTCTAATTCCGCATTTTATTATTATTGACCTTCCATTTGGTCTAGAAACGGTGCATCCATGTTTTGTTACCCATCACGCAGATTTATCATACTCTGTTTTGTAAAAATGTTTATATTTTAATACACTCTTGGCACTTTTAACGCGGCTTTTCTTGTACTCAACAGTAAGGGAAAAATGTACTCATTTGACAGAAATAATTTTAGATTCATTCTCAATCAACTGTTGTGATGATGAAATGTTTAGTGTCTAAGCAGTGTCTCTCACTGTAAGTCCGGGATTTTCAAATATCGTGTTACTCACAGCATCGATATTTTTGGTGTCTTTTAAGCCCCTTTTCCATTTTTGAATTTTGCTAATCCACCTGAACACCGTACTGAGTGAAAGGCTAATTTTTCCAGATATCAAAACCATATCTTCATTTGGGTTCTTCAGCGAGTTTTCTACAAATGAACGGCATAAGCACTCATTTTCATCTTTTTTGACAAAGGTCATTTTTAAACAGTTTTCAGCTCAGTGTAGTGACCATGTTTACTTAAAAGTGAATTTCTTTGCTGAGACAGTAGGAAAAAAATGTTGTTTACGGTGATTACGAGTTCTTAAAGAGAACTTTTCGAGTGTGAAAAAAAGAATTAACTGATTCTACATATATATTGATAAACCGTATGTTGCTCACCAAACATGTTTTTCTTTTTTGTTCTAGTGTAGTCATTGATATTGATTGAATTCAACTGGATGAAATTGAATAACTCTCACTTTTTAAAATGAAATTCATTAACAACAAAATTGTGAATATAGTGAAAAATTTTGTTCAGATGAACTTAATTATTTTGGTAATTTTTATCCACAAAAATTAACAAGAGAACTCCAATTATTTGTCTAATAAGCAACCAAACATTTTGTAAAATATTTATATACTTTCGTTGCACAGTTGTCACGATTATAAGGAAAAGAGGTCACAATCTGTCAGAACAACAGAAATTCTGCAGACAAACGTGCACCATTTATATTTCAGTCCCAAAATACTTCTTATCAGTTTTCCGATTCCTACTTAAGACAAAGACATACAGAAATTCTGTTGCGAGGATATCCCACTTCCTTTGGTTTTTAAATATGGCCAATGTAAATGCCTGTCTCGGTGTCTTTATTATTGTTTTGGCGTTTCAGACAATTCAAAGCAGTGCGCAAAGCTCAGACGAGCTGCTGGAAATAATCCATCGACAAGAAGGTTTACTGCAGACTCTAAGTGAGAAAATGCAATCTCTCAGCAACACTGTGAACTATTTGCGAATTGAAACCCAAAGACAAGAAAGGACAATTAAACACCAAAGCTTGGAATTACAATCATTACGCAAAGCCATTAGTGTGAAGCAGAAAAAAAATTATGCAAGCTCCAAATACGGTTCTACCAGAAAATTTGAAGATGAGCATTTTGATTCCTACGTCTGGAGAAATGATGAAAACACAGGGCCATGGCAAAGACAAGACTATCAAAACAACGTGACGCAAAGATCTCTTGGTAAGTTTATTTTGGAAATTCAAAGGATCCATAACTAGCACAATAAAACAGATGCAAAGAAATACATGTCTAAATCAAAAATACAATGGGTTTCAAATCATATGTGGATTAATAGGGTATATAATGCATCGATATTCTCGCATTCCGTAGTTATGATTGCTAATACCAAAGCATTATAAAACCTATAAAACCAAATTAAGAAAATAGGGCATTGCACTCACTAACGCTTTTTCCATTATAAAAGCAGCATTCTAGTGTCATCGTAATTTATTTGTAGATATGTATCAACAAGAATTGTCAACGAGAAATCTAGGATACAGGCTGTCTAACCAATGTGCATTCTACGCTTACATGAATCAAGCCATGCATTCCTTACCACCTCAGCATACCCTCGTCTTTGACATGGTGATGACAAACATTGCAAATGCATACAATAGATACACTGGGGTATTCACGGTTCCTTACAATGGACTTTATGCTATAACATGGACTATCTACTCAAATTCTTACAGCTTTGTTTTTTCAAATCTCATTGTCAACTCGGACACCTGGAACAGTGCCTTTGCTAACTCTGAGGAAAATAATGATCGCCATACCGCCACAGGCTTCGTGGTTGCACAACTGAATGCAGGTGATGTAGTGTTTCTTAAGACACATGAGACAAGAAAAGGCCTAGGAACATTAGAAAGCTCATTCGAGGCACGTTCAACATTCGCTGGCTGGAAAATTGGCTAGTTCCAATCACCATGTAATTAATAAATGAAGTGCCTGCCTGTTATGATTTTTTTCTATAAATTACACCAGGTATGATCTTTCAGCGTTTGCCTGGACATAAAATAAAATAACCTATAGCTATTAGGTGATGTTAAAGATATAAAAATAATGAAGTGAATAACCAGAAAACAATTTGTTACAATCTAAATCGAATATATATATATATATATATATTAGGGATGGCAATCGATTACAGAATTGCTAATCGGTTAACCGCAAGACGTTCCGACCGATTAACCGGTTAATCGTACATTATATCAAAATACACATTTTCTTGACTTTTTTTTCAAGTAGCTCTATTCATAGTAAGATGTTAGAAACAATCTGTTTATCTTGATCAGGAAACTACATGTACATGTATTTTACTAGTATTTCAATTTCAATAGGTAAGAAAAAAAAATTAAAAAAAACCATGAAACATGCCTGAGAAATCAGACGTTGATAATTTTTTAGAGCAGATGTCACACATTCTGCATTGTCGCTATGAACAAAACTAAGTCTGAACTTTCCCTTAATATACAATGTTTGTCTAATAATATAATTTGATAGATAACTGCAAAAGATAGATAATGATTCACAGTGCTCAACGGTGATTTATTTAACATCATTAAAGAATTACAGGACAGTCGGGGTAACCACATGTTGTTTATACAGTAATTAACACTTCACAAACTGACCAATTACCCCGCGATCTCAATCAGGAAAACAATAATTATCTCCAAATCAGCTTAAATACATATGTAAAAACTCTAAATTATCCAATGTTTATATAGAAGTTTCATTTTTAAAAATGAATTGTAAGAAAATTTCGTTCAAATTTACATATATTTTATTTTTTCCGACTAACCGATTACAGATTTTCTAACCGATTACCATCGTTCCGACCGAGTAATCGGTTAACCGGTTGCAAATTGCCACCCCTAATATATATATATATATATATATATATATATATATATATATATATATATATATATATATATATATATATATATATATATATATATATATATATATATTATATAAATTTTACAACAACTCTTAAACTAACATAACTGCCCTAAGTGAAGAAATATTAATATTGAAAGCACAAAGAAATTCACTTTTACAAGGATACCCACTTCCGCCGCAACCCGGGGTTGAACTCTCGACCTACGGAATCTGTCTCCTAGCAGTATATGAACAGCGTGCTTGACCGCTCGGCCATCTAGCAAGTCAAAAAATTTGCTTTCGATGCCGATGAAATTGTCTTTGTTTGTAAGGCTCGTTACACATGCATATAACTTGTATATTAGAGGAACTGGGATGTAATTCTACAAGTGGAAATCCAACTTATACCCATTGCTCCATTTCTAAGGAGAGAATTCTTCAAAATCATATGTCAGTTTTGAATATTTTGTTATATTCCCAACAACCAAAATGAATTTGAATTGCCATATCAATATTGGATTCCGAAACTTCATAAAAATCCTTACAAACAAAGATACAAAGCGGGTTCCAGTAAATGTTCTACCAAGCCTCTTTCTTTACTCCTCACTAAGATATTAACAGTAGTGAAGGAGAAACTTCAAGAGTAATGTGCAACAATATATTCGAGAAGTGGTGTAAGTCAGATGTGGGTACTAAAAAATTCCAAAGAACTTTTGGAACATTTGAAATCACAAAATTTTACCAAAATCAACAAATTAAAAATTTACGACTTTTCAACTTTATATACAACTATTAATAAAATAAATTAAAGTCCAGACTTTCTGACATCGTTGACTGCTGCTTTTTCAATAAAAATGGAACCCGTAGATTTACTTACCTTGTCGTTGGTCATTTGCAAATTATTTTGTTAAAAAACAATCTGATTGTACACACAAGTACTCTGAAGTTGACATTAAAAAGATCCTCGAGTTTCTGATTGACAATATCTATGTGGTTTTTGGAGACCAGGTCTTCCATCGAACTTGGAATTCCCATGGGTATCAATTGCGCCCCTGTATTAGCAGACCTTTTTTTGTATTCATATGAAGCTGAATTTTCTCAAAATCTTTTACGTGAAAAGAAGAAAACACTTGCTGTGGCCTTCAACTTAACATTTAGATACATGTATGTCGACGACGTATTGTCAATTAACAATGGTTATTTCCATTCTTATGTCGACACGATATATCCCGATGAGCTTGAGACAAAAGAGTCTGACACATCTGTTTCATATTTGGATATCTTTAAAAAAAAAAGAAAAGACGTTAATGGTTATCTAACAACAAAGCTTTATGATAACCGTGATGACTTTAACTTTTCAATCGTCAACTTCCCTTACCTTTGCAGCAATATACCTTTATCACCTGCATACGGGGTTTATATCTCTCAGTTGATTCGATACGCCAGAGCATGCTCTACGTATGAACAATTTCTAAAACGAGGTAAGTTAATGACAAAGAAGTTGATGAAACAAGAATATCAGCAATCTCGTTTAAAGTCATGATTTGGTAAGTTCTGTGGTCGATACAATGACCTTGTCAGCAAATACAATCTATCATTAAGTCAAATGCTGACCGACTTTTTTCAAACTAATTGTTAGACCATTATTCACACACTGAATTGTCGACGGATTTTCCCGTTATTTCCCAATCATGACAAGGAGCACACGGCGGGTGTGACCGGTCGGCAGGGGATGCTCACTCCTTCATGGCATCTGATCCCACCTCTGATGTCTTAGAGGTTCGTGTTTGCTCTGCTTCTATTTTGTAATGTTTCATGGACTTATGAGTTCGAATACTGTTCGATATCTCCACATATTTCATCTAAAGACCTTTTTGGGTATTTTACTCGAAATAAGCAATAATTGCAAACTAGCAACAAAACTTTATGAAAATCAAGATGACTTCAATCCATCTATCGTCAATTTCCCTTCTTTTTGTAACAATATACCGTCATCACCCGCATATTCCAGTTGATTAGATACGCAAAAGCATATTGTATGTATGAACGATTTCTAAAACAAGCAAGCTATTGACAAATAAGTTGATGTTACAAGGATATCAATAGTCTCGTTTAAAGCCAACAGTTCGAAAATTCTGTGGTAGATACAATGACCTTGACTAATGTTTTTCATATAAATTGTTAAGCCATTCTTTTTCACACTGAATTGTCTACGGATTTGCCCGACCATGACAAGGAGCACAAAGTGGGTGTGACCGGTCGCACGGGGATGCTTACTCCTCCATGACACTTATTCCACCTCTGATGTTTTAGAGGTGTTTGCTCTGCTCTTAAATTCTATATATTATTCAAATGACTTTTCAGCTTGATTGCTGTTGTTATCTTTATATTTCACCTATTGTATTTTACCACATAATAAAAGTCGCACAATAAATAATCAAAGTTTAGTTATTAGTTACATGTAAAAGTGTTATCTTAATGTTTCTTTATTATCCGTTTGATATTTGGATAATTTAACTAATTTTAGACATACTTGGCCAACTTAAAAGTTGTAAGTTGGCCAAATATGTCTATAATTAGTTGTAAGTTACAACGTACTAAACAATATAAAAAACGGGATGACTTCCGAATCGGCTTTTCCATAGACAACTTCTTATATGTATTAATGTAGTAAAACAAATATTCCACCATCGCTGCATATAACTTATTTCGTGCGCTAGAGCATGCTCTAAGTACGATCGACTTTTAAACAGTGGCAGGATATTGGCAAATGAAAAAGGTCTTTAAAAAATATTATAAACAACACAGATCTGTGAAGAGAGCTCAAAACACTGACCCCTGGAAATACCCGAGGTGGATCGGGTGCCTAGGAGAAGTAATTAAGTAGCTCCTTTTGGCCGGTCACACCCACTATGAACCCTATGTATTGATCTTGTAGACGGAACATTCCGTAGTCAAATTGAGTATAAAAATACAGGCTAAAATACGACCAAATTATACGACCATAGAATTTTATGAAATGCTAATTTTAAACGAGGTTGTTGAAATTCATGTAGCATCAACGCATCTATCAGTAGCCTGCCTCGGTCTAATAATTGATCGTACTCGGAGCATGCTCCGATGATGATGATGATGATAAGATGTAAATAAGATGAGTTTACTGGGCTTTCAACAGTCATTCAAAGTCAGCATTTCGGAAAAGTTCTGGGTCATTTTAACAACCTTTTTAGCAAATGCATTTATTTTCATATATATATATATATATATATATATATATATATATATATATATATATATATATATATATATATATATATATATATATATATATATATATATATACGAGGGTTGTTCGAAATTTCGTGGACTATGCCAATCTTCGTTATACTGTCTTCAAGAAATTTAAAATGAGCACATTATCATATGTAAAAATATTTATTTTGTTTAAGTGTGAAGTTTCATTCCATGTGATTTAATAGAATTCATGTTATTTAATTTTAAAATCAACATGTTTTGTAGCCACGGAGCAAACTCAACAACACTGTAACGTCAAAAACATACAGACATGAGGTTCTCAAAAATACTATCCCTATACATTTCACACAGTATTGCCCAATACCAGTGCACTCACTAAAAACGTTTCTCTATCACTTGAAATCTATTTTGCTAACAATTGTCCCAGTAGCATTATTTTGTTTGTCAGTGTTATATTTTTTTCACTGCATAAGTGTGCTTTCACAAGATAAGCATCTGTGAAGCGCCAAACTCTTAGCATGACGTTACAAACTTTTCGATGTTTTTGAGTAGATTTTTACAGATAATCCGTTTTCTCAGAGATCACTATAGTCTAAGCGGAGTAGTGTATCATTCAAATACCGCTTGTACCATGTACACACACACATGCATGGCTCGCTTTTGACATATTTCCTTCTTCCTCCGGCATTTTCAGTTTCAAAATTGTATGGATAACTGCTGTTCCGTGACGTTCTTCGATGTTATCTTTTTTTGGCTTTTCAATGAGGACTACCTATCTTCTGAAACTGATTTCTTTTCAACGAAGCAAAATATTAAGTCATAATTTGGAATTAGAAGAGATGAAACAATGCTTAATTTGAACGTGTAGAATTTTTCAGATTTTGTTTCATTTTACAGAAGATATGACCTCAGACATTATTTAGTCTCTTGATTGTAAATTACGAAATTTTGACCCGCTCCGTGATCCAATTTTCGCATTTTTTAAGTCTAAATAAGTTTGAAATAAACCATGATATTTAAAAAATTTTTAATACACATCATTTAAATTAACTGTTGAAATATTTCTTCCAGCTTTGGATATAATATGACGTTAAGTAAAAAAAGTTATGACGATAGTCCACGAACTTTCCGAACAACCCTCGTATATATATATATATATATATATATATATATATATATATATATATATATATATATATATATATATATATATATATATATATATATATATATATATATATATATATATATATATAGACTCCTTTCCTTTGCGGTTTCTGGGGTTTCATGGAAGTTTTTCTTCCCGTTTAGGTTAAAATTGCTTGCATTTCCACTTTCGTTTGCAATATACAATGGATAGTTAATTAATGTTTGTTCTTTCAAGTTTAAATGAAAAATAATTGTAACAAAGATATCTAAAACATGAAACAATTCTTATTGAAATTGTAGATACTTTTGCTATATGTCCAAAAGTTACATGGATGTACACTGTTTAAATCATTGAATTAAATATATGCACTCAAAGGCAACTTGATTAACCGGTAGATGAACATTATAAACAATTCTCTCCTTCTCTCTCTCTCCTGAATATATAATGGAAAGATAAAAAAAATTCTTTAAAACAATGATACATTTGTGAAATCAAAATGAAAGCATTTCTACATAATGTAGATTGTCAATTAATCATAAAAGACAATTTTTCATAAATGACCCCGGTCATTCTTCTATTGGGGTCATCAGGCGACAATACGTATCGATGGACGACAAATAAAAAAAATTGCCAGTAACTTAGATCCGTCAAATACGGAGGCGTATTAGTGCCACGTAACATTTTGTTAAGTTGGTAAGTTGGTAATTTCAACTTTAAAGTTGATAATTCAAACTTTAATCTTGGATTTTCCAACCTTAAAATTGGTAATTCCAACTCTGAAGTTGGCTTTTCTAACTTTAAAAATTGGTAATTCCAACTTTAATCTTGGCTTTTCCAACTTTAATTTGTGCTTTTCTAACCTTTTCTTTAGCTTTTATCCCTTTATTTTAAATTATTGCCAACTTTGTTAAAGCAAAATTAATATACTGAAATAGATTGGTGAGCAATTAATCTGTGTCAATTATATTTTAACTTGACCTTTCCTGTAGCTTTACTTATAACTTCTAACTTTGAAATCCCCTATAATTTCTTTGGTCCATCTTATATAATTATACAGAGAATAACTTCATACAACTCCCTGCGTGAAGTATTTCAACCAAACCTCAGACATATACATGTGTATTTTGTTTTTTTTTTTTTTGTGAGGGAATAAGCTTAAACAAATATTATTTGGTGTTTAATATATGGGATGAATCAACACTACATAACATGCTTCAAATACAACTGAAATGTATCAATTCTGTATGTGAAAACACAATGAAATAATTACTTCTTTCATCATAATTTCATAACTGATCTTTTTATTCCCATTGTAATTACATGTGTAAAACAGCAACGCGAGTCCAGCTACAAAGTATCTGAATATAACGCATAAAGCCGTACCATAGGCGTCGGAACCGGGAGGGAGCTACTTTTTTGCAAAGATAGACATACTAAAGGCATTAAACATTTGGGCGTAGGTTTAGCCCCCGCCCCCTACTTTCAACAGACACATAGCAGTGTAATCAAAGAAAGGTAAGTGGTAGCGTTTGAAAAACAAATGGTACTTAAAGAATGAAAGAAGTTCGATCCCCCCCCCAGCCCCCCACGAAATAGGATTTTCAGGTTTGGACAATTTTTAAATTTTTTTTTAATTGCTTGTCAAGTTTTTTTTTCAGGTTTGAATTTTTTCTCTCTTTCAATTAGACCCCCACTTTCAATTTGCTTCCGATGCCTATGCGTAGAAATGCCAAGATTGGAAAAGCCAACTTTAAAGTTGGAATTACCAACTTAAAAAAAAAAATTACGTGGCACTAATATTCTTCCGTAGTTAAACCGTGTCGATTTTTTTTTCATGGCTGTCGAAAACGAAATTATACTTTTTACAATTATGCGAGTAAACTTAATAAAATATAATTTACAGACATCACCTCATACCTACTGTAATATAAGAACTTAGAATGAAATTTGGTGCAGGCTTTTTTGCAAAAATACGAGTATATTCATTTGTCATTTTAGATATGCAAATTTTGAGACAGGCAAACACATATTCCAAGACAGTAATGTACAAATAAATTGTTCAGTATACACTACTTGGTGTGGGATAGCAATATGACAGAGTTGAATCGTCTCTGAGTTACTTTCTCATTTTACCAAAGCAAGAGGCCGATGGGCCACAATACTTAAGTCCCCTTGGCTCTCCTTTTAACTCCCGCAAAACATTAATTATTATTCATTATTATTAATGATTCTTTTTTATCGTGTTTGTCAATGTGAATAAAAAATAAAAATAAAAACTATTGAATATACACTTGCTGTAATTGTATGGTATGCATTAACCCTATAAAAATTATTTTTTATATTATTTGATTAGTTATAGTAAAGAGGAGACCCATTTTATTTTCATTATTATTATTTTTTTGTTTAAGTATCTAAAAATACGAACAAGGGGTGTGTGTGTGTGTGTGCGAGGGAGAAAGAGAGAGGTTGTGTGTGTTTGTGTGAGGGTGAGGGTGTGTGTGTATTAAATCACTAGGTAGAATTTTGTTCTGTATGTGTTGAATGATGATATGGATATAATAGTAGAGTAGAGCATAATATCACCACCGTAGTAAAAAACAAATTTGTTGCTTTGTTGGCTGCATTTGTATTTTCCTTTTAGTCTCATCTTGAAGAGGAGTTCATCATCTTGAATCATCAAATAAAGCTGGGATATAAAATAATTGAATATCCCAGTGTATAACACAACATACATGTAGTTAGGTGTGACATAATGTATTTACCATTATATTACCAACGTGAACGCCCACCCTTGTTTTAAAGTTCTACGCTTTGTTCAATGACTTTAATTTCTTTCCGCTTATTGAAGCCACAAAGGTGGTTTAGTGACTACCATAAAAAGGCGCCTTAATCCCCTTGTACCTCGGAAATAAGTATTTCTTTGATTAGCCCTAAAAGAAGCATTTTTCCTTCCCCGAGATAAAAGTTGATGAAAGAGGTCGGAATTAAGCTATTATGATATTTTTACTATAATGTATTTATTAATATTAAACACAATTTGTATATATTATATATTCTGCTATACAAATATATTTTAAATAACTGCAAATTCCAGGGTTGGAAGGGGGGGGGGTTCCGGACCTCCGATTCCACACCCCCTCTAGATCCGCGCATGATGTTATTAATAATTCAAGCTCTTATGTATAACTCTGATCTCTGTGTTTTGATATATCCACTGGTAAACTGATAAGATACATATCTAATTGTCAGCTTTTCACTGAAAAGGTTTTGTTGTATTTGCAACAAAATTAAAATGAGAGAGAGAGAGTATACAGGTAGAGAAATTGCCTTTGTTACAAGGTCTTTATCTATATCTAGACTTTCTCTTCACGACTTTTGGTACCAAAGAGGGCTAAGATCGATCATGTAGGTCGTGTGATCTATTAAAAATTCAAAATAATTCAAAAAGAACACATATATTAGTTGTCACGCCCCCGTTCATAGAAATAAATCATGAGACGAAACACTTGAAAACCTTTCTTTTTTTTTAAATTTATGCCAACACACGAATTCTTTTTCGTAGAAACCTGACATGACCCAATTCAATGCTTCTAGAATGTAATTTTTTTGGCCCTGGTGTAGCCTTTGTGAGGAGGGGGGTCATTTCTTATCTTCTGACACACTGTCCTGTGAGTCTGAATGTATAGATGTTCCTGGCCCTAGGGTGAAAAGACACGGGGTAAAAAGGAGAGACGGCAGCTCAGGTCATGTGATTTATACTCTGATGAATGAATCCAGCATCTAAAAAAAATGTGTCCTCAATAATGCAATAAATAGCCTTAAAATAATTTAAAAGGAGAAAAAGTTTAGGAGATGATCCATACCTCGTACCAGTTCCGGAATAAATTGAAAATAACTCCCTTTATAGCTGCTCTTGGTAAAAATAAACATTGTTTTGTCATTTTTTATACAGAAAAAATAAGATCTAAGGCGAGCGATCTTCACTGTTGTTACGCTCTGATGATTTGCAATAATTAATCATAAAAAGCCCCAAAATAATTTTTCTATCCATAATTGATCACATACGACTAAATTGAATAATTGTAGGCACGCGTCACTTGGGGATTTTGATACGAATCGCGGGAACATAGGGCGTTCACACGAGAAGTTTGCTTCGAATTGAAAAAAAAGTGACCCAGGAGTAAATTTATGGTAGTCTCGACAGAAGGACCCTTGAAAGAATCTGTTTATAAACACCCACTGCTTTACTGACGGGACCCTTAACTGTTCAATCTACAGTGTATAACTCTGAATTCAAATTACAAAATTTTTATGGGAGTGTCTCGTGAACTCCGTGTAAACAAAGTGAGATATACCCTCGATATCGGTATAATATCAATATTCTGAGGATAATACGAAGTAATAAAGCTTATCTTAACACACAAACAGCCCAGATCAACACCACCCTAACTCTGTTACATGTGATTTATACATACCTCACTAATGAAAGCGGGCCATTAAGAAAGGTAGGTCATTTACATTTATTCCGGGACTCTCTTTTGAAAGAACTTTATTTTCCTTCATAATATACTACTTAGTGATTTTAGAGAATCCGATTTCAAGATGATGGAAATTAATCAAATATATCGCTATCATCATGGTTATACCTGTAAGTCTACGTTATAACCTATCCAATGTGACAGTTACTCATCGCCCGTCAGTCTGTCCTCAACCCCCGAGATGTGAAATTTGTTATTTTTTTTCAAACGACATCTTGTTATTAGATAAATAGTTCTAGCTTGAATGTTCGTTTTGTAGAAGTATGGTGGGAATGGACAGATCTTCGCATATTTGGACTTCTGGATTTTTACTTTTGTTTGTGATAAAATGTTCAAATTGTCAAGATTTTGTGACAAATGCACCAAAACTAACAAGACAGGGGATATAATAGTATCTTTAAGTATATATTTATGCAATACAATGAATAATTTACCTTTTCCTTTCTCCTGTACATGTGCCTTCTTACTTTTCTTCTTGTCAGTGAGAAGAACCGATTAAACGGTAAGGTATTAAAACAAAGCCATCACACATTTTTCCAAGCAAGATTTAGTTAGAGAACAAACTCCTCTTACAGATTTGCACAAAAGATATCAAACTAATCGTCATTAATATCCTGCGTCGGACTCTTTTATACACACCAAATAAATTCTACCTCTAATCACGGGAATAAAACAGAGTACATTTCAAAAGCATAAATTTTCCAAAGCATTTTGAATACGCATAATATCGATCAAGGGTAATTAAACGAGGTATTTTATACTAAAAATCACAGTTTGACTGCGATCTTTTACTTGTACTTTTTACTTTTGAATTTCCTAATACATCTGAAAACTATACCGCATGAAAGACTATATATATTTAGTCCTTCTACATATAAAAATCATATCTTTAATATTGGTTCTTTAGCTATTTATGTAATGAGGCACAATAATGAACTGACTTGTGCTTTTGCCTAGCCAATGTGCTCAGGTGGGCGATGTGGCCCATGGGCCTCTTGTTATTTTTATACCTTGGATATTTTTTTTCTAGCCTTTAGATGCTAGCACCAGTAAACAACTTCAGACCATTCTAGAGGGATTTCTACAGAAGGGACAGAAACTCTACCTAGAGACTGAGGTAAAACTGCTCAATTCTTACTCCAAATTTTCAAAACTGGATTGTCTGCCTTATTTTTCTATTTATATGTGCTACCATAAATCTTTGCCATAAATCCTTTATAAGAGGATGAAAATATCTGGAATAGGGGGAGGAATTTAAAACTTCTTTAACAAAATTGTATGTAAATGATCATTTTATTTGGACATGAATTATATTTTGTTCTGTGTTTCAGGTTGACCCAAGTCTTGTTGGAGGTATGACGGTGACCATTGGGGATAAATTTATAGACATGTCCCTCAAATCCAAGATCAAGCTCTACATTGACATTCTTAAGAGTGCAGCTATCTAAACAAGACAGCACTAACTTTTATTATAATTTCATACATGTGTTTGTTTACCACTAGGATGAATAAAAAGGCTATTTAAACTTAAGATTTGATGAGGTCTTACTTTAGATACATTGTATAGATTAGTGATTTTGAAAATGTGTAACACTTTTAACTTGCTGATAAGAAGATAAGTGAGGAGAAGATTGCTATGACAGTTTTGAATCGTGAGCTGATAAAGAAAAAAAAACCCTGAAATTAAAATAGGGATTTCCAGAAGTGAACAACTGGATGAGGGGATGAACTAAGTGGCACTTTTTTCCGCTGATGTATAGAAGAGGTTAAGCTAACCTCTGATGGAGGTGTCCTGGATAAATTATAGATTGATCGATGATTTGAAGTTTAATGTCTCGGTGGGAATTTTTCATTCATATTAAGAGCTGTAGATGAGTTGCTAAATTTTAAGATGTTTGCTTTGTACAATGCCAATGCATGGAAACATGCAGTCCCTGTTCTTCAAGCATCAGTTCATAGGTGTGGGACCTACATATCTGAAAGTGATTGCTTTGTATTGGAGTACATGTAGTCATAATTTTACAGTCATAGAAATGTCCTGAAAAACTACATCAAACTTGAAGATCACGAGGTCAAAAAATTATAATACATTTGGAAAGATCTTGTCACAGGTAATACACGTGGAACTTCTCTCATTCAAATTTATTACCTATGTTGAAATTTTGAAAGTAGGTCAAACTTAAGTCAAAGTCATTAGGTCAAAACCATGGTACAGTCGGAAAGGTCTTCACAGGCGATGCGTAAATGGGGATGTCAGCCATGAAGTGACAAAGATGTTAATGTAAAAAATTGATAAATAATATTCCATGTGATTTTGTTTTGATCATTATTTAGGCCCGTAGCAGCGGTTTAAAAGTGGGGGGGGGGGGGTGCCAAAGAAATCTGACAAGCAAAAAAAAAAAAACAACAAAAAAAAAACCAAAAAAAAAAAAACAAAACCTAAATTGACCAAAAGTGTGTGTGTGTGTGGGGGGGGGTGCAACTCCCCAAAATTATCTGACAAAAAAACCCCCAAAAAACCACAACAACAACCTTTCTATAGTCCAAATCCTGGTATTTGCCAGTGCTCGACCTTACAAAATCAAAAAGTGGGGGGCGGGGTGGGGGTTGCAACTAGCATCTTAACAAAATTTACTATAGCTAAATACTATACTCAGAGAAAAAATTGGGGGGGGGGGGGGCTAGTCCCCCCTTCTCGTTCTACGGGCCTTTTATCTGATAAGTGCTACAAAATGAATGTATAACGAGCAGCGATAAATCTCATAAATCCTTTGTATTTCCTCTGTATAGCGATCATGTAAACGGAGTTACAATGACCTAACAGTTGTCAGTCAAAATGCAACCCCCAAAAGGTTGTACATGTATTTGCAAAAAAGTTAAGGAATAAAGGCGTTGAATTTAATTTCTTTCAAATGTTGTTGTCAGTGGTTTTGAATATTTCTGAGGATTTGATGTAAAAGTGAAAAAAAGCTGCAGGAGTGAAAACATAAAAATCCTAAAATATAAAGAAATTACATGTACAAAATTTCTATGATGTTCTAACTTTTTACCATTCCCCTTATAAATCTTTGCACTTTTTAAATTCACTAGATATAACACTAATGAGAAATCGTGAACGAAAACTTAACTATATGAATAAACATTTATTTTACTTGTAAATATAAACATATAGATCTTATACATACATCTTATGTAGTGATTTTTCAAAAAAAAATGTAGCAGTTAGCCATAAAAATTATGTACACATTTGCCCATAATTGTAAATGACAAAACAAATTCTGAAGAAAAACATAAATAATCCACAGATCATTACAATCAAAGCCTTCTCTCAACCCCGCTTTGGAAATCACCATGGCTATTTATACGGAAAAAAAGTTTGTAGAATTGGCCTTAAAATGTATGTACACATTTACAAAATTTAATTATTATAATTGACAAAATAAACATAAAAAAAAATAAATAAATAAATAAAAAAGAAATAAAAAAAAACAAACGAACAAACAAACAAAAAACAAACTAAAAAAAAAAAAATACAAATAACAATCAAAGCCCTCTCTCAACTCCACTTTGGAAATCACCATGGCTATTTATAGAATATTTTATTCAGCACGAAGCAGTAGTATGCAAATGTTAGAAAAATGCCTACACACACCCCAGAGAGTATTGTATATATTCTGTTCAGTATGTTAAAGATATCATGGAAGGTCCAAAGAGACTAGGTTACCGCCATGATTGTTACCGCTATAACCCTAGCTCAGTATTTGACCTCCCATTTACTCTTTTTGACTGACAAAGGGGTGTGTCGCCATTTACCTAAGCCGAGAAATTAAAAATGAATTAGGGCTAAGGCGAAATCGGAACTCGATTTATATAATTAAAACAAAAATATTACAATTATCTCTCATAAAACACCATTAAATGAGAACAATTTTGTTCGAATAATTGTATTAAGAAACCGTATATTTATTTATTTAAAAAAATGCTATAATTTGATTGTAATTCCATCATAATATAGGAAGAAATTGATGAAATATTAAGATGTTTAAAGGTGGAACATTTCAAAGATATTTGTGAATAAGTCTATAAAATTAGTTATTTTAAAATTCAAATACTATGTTTACTAATACTTGTGTCTTATTGTAATTTTTGAATTTACCGGGTGGTAGTAAATACAAAAATTAATTTTTGTATTTACTACCACCCGGTTAATTTCAAAAATTACAATATGACACTTGACAAAATTTCACTGAAGTATTAAAAGCAGTTGGCTTTTTTTTTTTTTAATTATAACTTAAACAATTTTTTTAATTCATCAAACAACATCTGAAGTGGCAAATGAAAATGATTCGCAGTTTATTAATTTCATTTATTTTCTAAAAATTCCATATTCAAATTTAGAGTATCTTAGAAATTGTTTACTTGATATTCACAGTTTCCTTTCTAAAGATAAAATTCTTCAAAATCACCTTTTAGTTTTAATAATTTCAACATTCCAGTCCATGGAAGTGAGTTTGAATTACCTTACCTATACTGGACTCCAAAAATTCATAAAAATCCTAACAAACAAAGATATAGTGTATATTGCAGGGTCCAGTAAATATTCAACCAAGTTTCCATCCTCATTTCTCACCAAAATATTAACAGCTGTGAAGGAGAAACTTCAGGAGTACTGTACAACATATTCGAGATGTGGTGTTAATAAGATGTAGATACTTAAGAACTCCAAGGAACGTTTAGAAAATTTGAGATCACAAAATTTTACCAGCAATAGCATCAAAACGCACGACTTTTCAACACTTATACAACTATTCCTCAGGATAATATAAAAACTAGCCTTTTTGACATCAAAGAAAACTGTTTCTTCAATAAAAATGGTACACGTAAACGAATTTAACATCCCTTGTCATTGATCATCTGCAAACGTAGTTTGTTAATAAAACCAATCTGATTGTACACACAAGTACTCAGAGGTTGATGCATTTAAAAGATGCCCGAGGTTCTCATTGACAATATTTGTGTAATCTTTGGAGACCAGGTCTTCCAACAATCTATTGGAATACCCATTAGTGCTCACTGTGCTCCGTTATTAACAGACCTGTTTTTTTTATTCTTATAACATGTATAAAACAAAATATGTTCAAAGACTTCTACATGACAACAGTCTCCTCAATTCGACATTTAGATATATTGACAACATTTTATTAATGAACAATATTCATTTTCATTCCTTTGGGGATTTCATATATTCCACTGAACTCGAAAGAGAAGACACCACAGAGACTGATACATCTGTTTCATATTTGGATATTTTACTAGAATAAGACATTGATGGTAAATTAACATTTAAACTTTATGATAAACACGATGACTTCAACTTTTCTATCGTCAACTTCATTCATTTAAATAACAATATAATATTTTCACTGAATATGGGGTTTATGTGAAAGGTAAAGATAACGAACAGTGATCGATCTAAAAAAACAAACAAACCCATAAACAATACAAATATGTGAAGAGAGTGTAAAACATGGACCCCTGGAAATTCCAGAGGTGGGATCACGTGCCTAGGAGGAGTAAGCATCCCCTGCTAAGCAGTCACACCCGCCGTGAGCCCTATGTATTGATCAGGTAGACGGAACTATCTGTAGTCAATTCAGTACAAAAACAAAGGTCTAATAATTGTTATGAAATAAGTCAGCCAAAATGCGACCCAATAATAGGCCATTATAACGACCATAAAATTTACGAAAAGATGACATTAAACGAGGCTGTTGAAATCCCTGTAACATCTACTTATCAGTGAGTAGCCTGTCTCGCTCTAAAAATTGATCGCTCTCAGAGCAAGCTCTTGAGTATAGAATAAGTTTGGAAACATTAACGCCATAAGCAGGTGATAGTGGAATACATGTTTTACTAGATAAATAAGCAAAGTTGACGATGGAAAAGTTAAAGTAATCTCGTTTGTCATACAATTTAATTGTTAATTGGCATTTGTCGTCTATAGTCAGTAAAACATCTAAATATGAAACAGATGTGGCAGACTCTGTGGTATCTTTTATCTCAAGTTCACTTGGATATATCGAGTCGACATACGAATGAAAATAACTATTGTAAATTGATAAAACATCACATAACTATTGTTAATTGATAAAACATCATCTATGTATCTGAATGTCGAATTGAAGACCACAGCTAGTGTTTTCCTCTTCTCGTGTAGAAGTTTTTGAATGCTTCAAGGGAATATAAAAACAGGTCGGCTAATAAAGGAGCACATCGGAAGTTCAATAGTTTGTTGGAAAACGGTCTCCGAAGACTACATAAATGTTGTCAATGAGGAACTCCGACATCCTTTTAATATCAACTTCAGAGTACTTGTGTGTACAATCAGAGTGGTTTTTAACGAATTAATTTTGCTGATGACCAATTACAAGATGTGAAAATTTCCGAGTTCCATAATTTAAGAAGCTGTTGTCTATGATATCAAAAAGTCTAGATTTTAATTTAATCGTTCGGACGAACAAGATATTTTCG